CGCATTGTCGAGGGTAACGCGAGAGCGTAATTGTTCTCCGAAATCTTTTTGTCGATCTTGAACGGTCCGACTTTGCGAAAGTCGAGCTTCCTGCTTGGTCGCTTCGTGCGAAGATTTCGAGAAATGAGGTAGACTTTGCCCCCCTCCTCTAGGCGAGGTCCCTCGAGCCTGTTTCTGTCGTAGAACTTCTTCATCCGTGTTCGTACGAATTCGAGTTCTTCCTTGAGCATCGCGTGCAGCGAGCTCATTTTGTCGGCTTTGACTGCCGCTCTGGGCACCGAAACTTCGGGCCCTTGTCGCAAATCTGCTTCGTAGCCGAAATTCGCGAAGAATGGTGTGACCCTGGTGGTCTCCGTGACGGTGGTGTTGTAGGCGAGTTGCGCTGTCGGCAGCAGCTCGACCCAGTCATCCTGCTGGAAATTGACGTACAACCGTAGGTATTGTTCGACGACCTGGTTGAGTCGTTCCGTCTGTCCGTCCGTCTGTGGGTGGTAAGCGGTTGAGAGCTTACTTTTCGTACCCAGTCTCGTCATCAGAGCCTGCCAAAACTTTGATGCGAACTTGGTGTCTCTGTCCGTGATCCATTCCTCCGGCCAGCCGTGGACCGAGGTGATGTTGCGGTAGATCACGTCTGCGAGTTGTTCTGCTGACCATGTCTCCTTGTAAGGGAGGAAGTAACTCCACTTGGTGAGTCTGTCCACCATCGTGAGGATGCTGTCGTATTCTACTCCCGTTACTGAGTCCTTGGAGGCTGGTAGTTTGGTGATGAAGTCCATCGTCACCGAACTCCATGGTCGTTCTGCAACTGGCAATGGCTGTAGTAGCCCGTACGGCTTGTGTCGTCCTGGCTTGCTCCGCTTGCAGAGGTCGCATTCCGCTCGGACCCCTTCTGCCGTCTGCTTGATTCCTGGGAAGTCGTAGTTCTGCTTGACTTTCGCAATTGTCTTGCTGATTCCCATGTGTCCTCCGAGTCTCGACTCGTGGATCTTTCGAATGAGCTCCTTTTGGTCACCCAGCCTGACATAGGCCTTGTCGTGGTACCAGAGTCTCGTTCCTTCAAGTCGCAATCCCGCGATCTTGGATTCTGGCTCTTCTTGCCATGCATCGCGTTCGTCGTCCGCGATGATTCCTTGGAAGTCTTGTTCCAATCTTTGTTCTCTGAAGGCCGCACAGCATTCTACAAACGGTTGCAGAGGCCTGGCTTCGGGATCTTCCGACTGCTGCTGAAGTGCTGCGATCTCGTAGTCTTCAGTCGGTTGGGAAGCGTGCCGTAGCGATCCGTCTGTCTGTTGATGTAGCAATGGTGGTGAGGCTTCAGACGTGTTGTCGTGGTGATCCGCTCTCCTACTCAAGGCATCCGCTCGTGCGTTTTCTGAGCCTTTCTTGTAGTGGATCGTGAAGTTGAATTCGGACAGAAATTCTGCCCACCGAGTTTGTCGTCCGTTCAGCACCTTGGTGGTGGTGAAGTACCGTAAGTTCTTGTGGTCCGTGTACACCTGGACTTCGTGTGTCGTGCCGCTGAGGTATGGTCTCCATTCCTGAAATGCTTCGATGATTGCGAGAAGCTCCTTGTCGTGGATCGGGTAGTTAAGCCTTGGTCCTTCGAGTTTCTTGGAGAAGAACGCAACTGGGTGAAGCTTGCCGTCCTTGTCCCTCTGACCAAGTTGTCCTCCGATCGCGAAGTCCGAAGCATCAGCCTCGACTTCGAAAGGTGTGCTTGGATCAGGCAGCATGAGCACCGGGTCGGCGATGATCGCATCGCGGATCCGCTGGAAAGCCTGCTCGTGCTCCTGCTTCCACTGGAATGTGGCATCCTTTTTGGTAAGTTCGTGCAGAGGTCTCGCGAAGTCGCCAAAATTCTTGATGAACATTCTGACGAAGTTGGCGAATCCGATAAATCCTCTGACCTCCGTGGCGTTCGTCGGTGTCGGCCACGTCTTGACAGCTTCCAGTTTCTCGGGTTCGATCTTGACCCATCCCGGGGAGATTTCGTAACCCAGAAACACTGTTTTCTCGACATGAAACTCGCTCTTGTCCTTGTTGACTGACAATTTGTGCTCGTGCAGTGCGTCCAGCACCTGCCGCACGTGTCTCTTGTGTTCTTCGAGTGTCTTGGAGTAGATGAGAATGTCATCCAAGTAACAGACTGCAAATTTATCGAGGCAATGTCGAATTGCGTGGTCGATAGCGGCTTGAAATGTCGCTGGTGCGTTGGTCAACCCGAACGGCATGACGAGGTACTCGTAGTGCCCGTAGGGTGTCCGAAAAGCCGTCTTCCATTCGTCTCCTTCCTTGATGCGGATGTGGGCGTACGCTGTTGGAAGGTCGAGTCGTGTGAAGTGTTGTGCTCCTGACAGCTGATCTCGAAGCCTCGAAATCAGTGGCAGCGGGTATCGGTTCTTCACCGTCTCGTTGTTCAACTGTCGGTAGTCCACACACATCCTGAGTTTCCCATCCTTCTTTGGAACGAAGAGGACTGGGTAGCCTGCTGGAGATGTCGATGGTCTGATGTGTCCTATCTCGAGGTTCTTTTCGAGATAGCTCCTCAACTCTGCATCTTGCTTCTCGTTGGTGTGGTACACCTTGAAAAACTTCAACTGGGCTCCTTCCTTGAGTCTGATCTCGTGATCCCAAGGTCCGTGGTCTGGTAGCCCTGCAAGATGTTTTGCCGTGAACGCCGGGTGCCCCTTGTAGTCGTCTGGGATCTGTCCCGTTTTCGCGTTCTTCGCCGTACCTTCGTAGTATGCGAACTTGCTGTTCCCGGGCTCGATGCTTGCTGCTTCGAGTCCCCTGACTTCTTCAGCTGCCAGCTCGATGCTTGCCGCTTCGAGCTGATTGACCCATTGTTCGTGTTTGAGCATTCCGTGCTCGTCGACTGAGACGACGGCAATGGTTCGTTCCTCCCGTGTCTGCTTCTTTCGTCGTGTGCCGCTTCTTCCGGATTTCAGAGTGCGTTCTTCTGCACTGGCTGCTTCCTGCGGTGGGCCCGTAGAGGGGGTTCGTTCTGACCCGCTGCTCTCCCGTGGCTCCTGTTCTGCGCGTTCTCCCATCGAGTTGGTCGGATGCTCTCGCTGTTCCCGCGGTCGCAGATGGCCATCTCCCTTCCAACTGATGTCTGGGTCGTAATCCTCATGCCATGGGCGTCCGAGAATCATATCTTTCTCTGGTCCCATGTTCACGATGTCGAATACCACTTGGGTGGTTTTTCCTTCCACCTCGATGTCGAGTGGTTCTGTTTCTCGTCGTACCCATTGTGTGTCGAATGGTCCCTTGACGACGTGTGGTTGCTTCTTGATCCTCCATGGGATTCTGAGTTGATTCACAAATGCGGGCGAGATGAGATCCATCTGCGCTCCTCCATCCACTAACGCGAGGGCTTCGATCTTCCCCCATCGCGCTGTGATCCAGAGCCTGTTGTCTGGCTTGGTGCTTCGTACAGCAGCTACTTCGTGTTCGTCTGCTGGGAGGTCGTTGTAAGGCTTCTGCTTGCGCCAGTTCTTCCTGTACTGCGCAGCCTGTCTCCGTTGTTGTGGAGTTAGAGATTTCCGGGCCCCTCGGAGGGCCCTGAGCCGTTTCCCAAGCTCGCGTAGTACTTCAAGGCGTCCCTGTCCGCACCTTGGCTTGCGGCATCAATCGTCTGGTGTTCTTGGAGCCATTGGGCCGCCCATGTCTCAACTGGGCGTCTCTCGTTCCTTCGGAACGCTCTTGTCCTCTGGTGTGGCTTCCTCTGGGATTGCTGTTCCATGTATCCCCAGATTTTCTCGTCGGCGTGTGATAGGCAGTCTGCACTTCGGCATTCGTCGACTCCTACGCCTGTCATACAGCGTCGGGGCCAGGCTGCCTTGGGCTTGACCCTTAGCCTGCCCTCGTGAGTGCGTTGGGTGTCCCACAACATGCTTGCGGGAGCGTCGCCGCTGTCGTATACCCATCTGATGGGCAGGGGTTGCATTCCCTTTTCTTCTCTTGTGGGCCAGAAACTGTTGCGAAATTTGTCCTGGAAGTGGTACCGACATTCGTGCGCGATGCACTGGAACCAGGGCAGGTAGATGTGACTTTCTTTTCGTGGGTCCACCCGCTCGTGGTCTTCTGGTAACAACTGGAATCCCTCCGTGTTGTTCTCGCCCCGAAAACCCCACCATTCAAGGTCGGAGGTTTGTCGTCCGGCGCGCACGATGTGCTGATGTCGCGTCCAGTATTCTTCCCAGCTCTGCTGTTTTCTTCCTTTCGCCGCATTCTGTTCCTGTGCGTAGTCGAAAAGTTGCTCGGGGTATCGTACTCCGTTTTCGTATCCTTCCGCCTCTTCGGTGGGTCCATCCCACGGTGTGTGGTGCGGAAGTGCCTGGCGGATGTCGTCCTGCAAGGCCTGTGCCTCTCTTAATGTCTTTTCGACGTGATCCCCGGCCCTGTTGTTGGCCTTGGTGATCTCTTGGACTCGTTCTCTGGCGAAATCGAGTTCCGCGCAAAGTTGTCCGTACTGGTCGTTCCTTCTTTGGAGAAGTTGCTCGAGTTCTTCTTTCTCTCTTGACAACTCCTCGATCCTTTGCCGTTGGCTTAGGACCTTCTGTTGCAGAAAAATGAGGTTCGGGCTGACTCCTCCTTCACCCTCGTGGGTTCGCCATTGCCCGTCCTCTTGCTGAACCAGGGTGATGCCCCAGTCCTCAGCGACTTGTCGGATGTACCGCGGGGGAGCCAGTTCTCCCTCGTCATCCGTTTCGATGAAAGCATGGTGGGCGGTGTCGTTTCCCTCCTGGTGGTTGCTGCTCATCAAGTCTTCTTGATCCGAGTCGGTGAGTTCATCGTCCTGCTCGATGACTCGGTCAATGTCGATTTCGAGGTCGTCCTGCGTGTAGCTGGCGGCTGCGACCTCCAGAAACCGGGTTCTTCTTCCGACCGTGTCTTGGTCGATGGTGGCAGCTTCCTTCCCTGGAACCGGTCTCCACTCTTTCTTGCTGCGGCAGTCACGTTTGAAGTGACCCTTCCTCCCGCAGTTGTAACAGGTGATGCCTGATTTGTCCTTGGCACCATCTCTCTTTCCTGCCCACTGTGCCTGGGCAGCGCTGACGTCCATGGGTCCCGAGTGCGTGCCGTATGACGTGCTCTGGTGCTGGCGTTTCTTTTTGTCGTTGGGCTTGTGGTAGCCTGCGGATCGCTGAACCTCGCTGCCCTTCTTCTGTTGTTTGCGGGCGAACTGTCGGTCGTCAATCTTGACAGCCATGGCGATGTACTCGTCGAGCGTGTCAGGTCGGCTCTCCTTGTAGAGCTCGTCCTTGACCTCCTCCTTCAGCCCTCCGTAGAACAGGTGCATCAGCCCCTCGTCGTCTATCTCTGCCTTCATGGAGTCTTGTCGGAAAATCGTGGCGTAGGCGGTGGTTGACCTAGTCTGCTTCAGCCGTCCTAGCCGTTCCTGGGCGTGTAACTTCTCGTCCTTGTCGCCGAACACCTTCTGAATCTCACTCTCGAACTCGGAGTAGTTCTCGAAGACCTTTTTGGTGAAGGGTTTGTGGATTGCTCCGCCGAGGAAATCACTCAGTGTTCCCGTGAACCACTTGAGGGCCTTGTCCTTGAGTCGGGTGGCGGCGTATCTGGTCTTGGATTCCTCAGTGGCGAACTGGTGCGAGTTGTGGTCGAGATAGTTCCGCATCTCCGTGATCCAACCTGGCAAGGCTTCCTGGTCGCCCCCGTATTTCTCGGGTTGCTCCAATTTGACCTTCGTCTTGGCCGGGTCCTTGGTGTGGACCTCGGTCGCCGCAAGTCGGGCTGCCAATGCCGCGTTGCTGGCCTTGGTCTTCGCAAGCTCTTCTTCAGTTTCATCGAGTCGTTCGGTGACTCTCTGAAGCGCGGCCGTGATCTGGCCCGGCGTCGGTTGAGTTGCCATGTCGTTTTACCTTCGAGCCTGAACTGTAACAGATCAAAGGGAGTTAGCAACGTGTGACGAACCTGTCTCTGGACCCGTCCTGTTAGGGTTCAGTATCGGTCGAAGGTATTCTCTCAAGGGTGCTTAGGTTCGGTGCAGCCAAAGGGTGCACAACAAAGACTTGTCTCAACAGTAGGCTCTCGAGCTTGTAGCGAACTGTAGTTGTGATTGCTAACTGGAGAACTCCCAGAGCTCTCCAGAACGAGTGACTATATACTATCTAAGTCTTGAGGTATCTCCGTACCTTGCTCTGTATGCTCCGTGCCAGAGCACCCAGAGCGTCGTGCTCTCCCTGCTCTGTGCCAGAGCACCCAGAGCGTAGCGTGCTCTGTCGTGCCAAGAGCAGAGCACCCAGCTGGCCGCCGGTGATTGGCTCGGGGCGGCCCGCGCCCCGTGGTGGCATGTCTCCAGCACGCCCCTCGTTGGCTGTTCGTGACAGTCAGGCAATCCCAAAACCACGACGGAACTCAGGAAGAAACCAGAATATACGAAGACGTGTTGGTCAATCCCGACGGCAGCTTTTTCCTGTTCTCGGACAGGCCGCCAGAGGACGTATTCAATTTCGGCCTACCAATCGGACCCCGCGAATCCTTTATGCAGGTCCAAGAGGTCCGTCTCACCGCGCCGTCGGAACGGTCCATCACCCAAGACAGAGAAGACGGCCTTTGCATCTACTGCCAACTGCTCTTGCTCCCGGACGCACCCGAGTATACCACGCACCAGCCGTGCATGGGGTTGCTGATCCGGAACTGGGACCGCTGTGTGCTCTGTAGGTTGATTAACGTTAGCATCGGACGTGCAAATCCGGCTTGGAAAGCACAATATGAGGCTGGGCTGGCAGATCTGTCGAGTCCGGATACGCGTATCTGGGCCCAGAACAAGAAGTTTGACAAGTATTCCCTTATAGTGGCGACTCTGGGTGGCCACTCGTCCAAGGAGGTTCGAGGGACGCCAATTGTGTGGACTACGAGTAACAAACTAGGTACGACTCCCTTTCCTATTCCTCGGATGAGAGAACCATTGACTTACACTGTAATGTACGAAATAGGAACTTTGAGCCGTCGCCTGATATGGGAGGCCTACTACTCCTCTGAGCAGCACGAAGCAAGTGCGCGGCTCAACGTAATCAAAGACTGGCTGCGCGAATGCCAATCCAAACACACCACTTGCAATCAACTGGCAAGTCAAGGTAGCCGACCACTCCCCACCCGCGTGCTCAGGATCACCCCGCAGAACGCAACTATACCCTTCACCATCCAGCTGCACGAGCCGGACGGCGAGAGTGCACCATACATCGCCCTAAGCCACTGTTGGGGAAAGTCAGGCCCTCTGAGGACGATAAAGTCGAATATCGAACAGCACAAACAAGCAATCGTGTTTGAAGCTCTGCCATTGTCTTATAGAGACGTCGTGGTAAAGGCGTGGTACCTCGGCTTCCAATATCTCTGGATAGACTCCCTCTGCATCATACAGGATGACAACGACGACTGGGAAGCCGAGGCGGCGCGGATGGCCGCCGTCTACTCCAACGCGACACTCACCTTTGCGGCCACCGAGGCCGCAGACCCGTCCGAGGGTTGCTGTCCCCGCTACAGCAGAGCCTTTCCGATACCTCTAGAAGGCGACGACAAAGCCCTCGTCCGTTTCCAGGACAACCTAAACCTAAACGGCGGAGACGCCGCGCTCAACACCCGAGGCTGGGCCTTCCAGGAAGCCGCCCTATCCAGGCGCATGGTCTGTTTTGACAACGACCAGCTGCTGTGGAAGTGCACCAGCAGGCACGAGTCCGAGGACGGCCTGCGGGTCGTCTCCGAGGCCACCCCAAACACGGGCGACTGGAATGTCTGGGCCTGTCTTGCGCAACTGGGCAGCGGCAAACCGAGTTACGTTTTTTGGTACAAGATGATGGAAGACTACTCCGGCCGGAAGTTCACTTTCGAGAAGGACAAGCTCCCGGCGCTGGCGGGTATTGTGGAGGTCTTCGAGGACCACGTCGACGACGCGCCACTCGTGGGTCTCTGGCACGGAGACATTCTGGACGGGCTCCTCTGGCGTGCCCACGAGCCTGGAGAGCGAGTCTCTTTCTCGGGCGTGGTGCCTTCTTGGTCGTGGACCTCGGTTAGCGGCCGGGTCTCCTGGGGAGGCTCATTGATTAGTATCCTGCCAGAGGGCCAGTTGAAAGTCATCTCGGTGGGGGTTGACTGGGCTGGGCGCCCGATGACTTCTCCGATCTCAGGGGCGGCCCTAGAGGTCCATGGGCGCCTAAAGAAGGCAAAGGTCGTCAGGAGCGCCAACCTCGTGTACCTGCACGAGATCGACGAGTCCTCCTCTGAGTCTTCGGAGCTGCGAACATCTGAAAATGGACAAGAGGAAACACTCTCTAGACCAGAGATTCTGGGATATTGTCACTTGGATGTGGTCAATCCCGTGGGTCCCCACATTTGGTGTCTCGAGGTGTATCAGGGCCTCCAACGACCAGGGCCGGAGTGTCCACGGAATCTCGCTCACCGAGTGCTTCTTCTGGAACCTGTGAATGAAGTCAAGAGTGAATTCAGCCGAGTGGGAGTAGGTTGCTTGTGGCGGAACTCGTACCGACAGGACGACGGGGTTATGGGCAGTGCGGTAAAGGAGACATTTCTGGGGGTCCCCCGACGCACGGTTACAATTTTATAAGCCTCGGGGGTTCAATTTGAGTCGATCTTATCGAGGTGAGACTATCATAGCTGCGTAGCGGGGGTACGGGCCAATGCCATACTGCTTGAAACGAAGCTTCAATGTGTTGAAACCGCCATGGACCAGGGGAGATGTTATTTCTGCTCCTATTAGCGGTGTTGTGTGTTCACTAGAAGACGGTGGAATGCCATCGATAAACCTTGGCTAGATTAACCTAAACATGATAGGCAGAGTGTTGGGAAAAGTGGTAAGGGATCTGATTACTGCTTGGGCCCAAGCCATCACTAACGGAAACGAGTTTTCACTCCTCGTAACCTGTGGGGGTGGGCGCGGTTACTGAGCAGCCTTGCGCCCTACTCGGCAGGCGGAAGAGCCGAGAAGGAACATCCGTTACCGCTTCCTCCTTGCGAAGATCCAGAGTTACACGCCTTTGAATACTTAGGCCCTTTGATGGCGGTGATGTGAGCCTTTCCCCGCGGGTGCTTGGGGCACGAGTATAGACTAGACTGTATAGGTTATGGTGTGGAAGATGGATGGGGGAGGACGGGATGCTGCGAAAGGTGCCATCACACAGCGGCGAGTGCTCATCCCGGCTCACCCCATTGAAGGGTGAGCCGGAGCCATGCGCGCAAGAGTGAGATATTCCGTCGAAACAATAGGAAGAGTGATGATTTGCAAAGCCCTGACGTTTAGCTCCTAGCAACGTTGCGAACAGTCGTGGACATGTAACGATAAAACCGAAGAGGAAGAACATCACTCGCATTCAACGAAGGACTGAAACCCATGGGCCATCTGTTGAACCCCAACATCAAAACAGCCAATAGCATTAGGCGCCCTCGTTCAACTTTGCTGGGACGCTGGGTATCCTCACCTCGGTACTTATCCCGCTTCTGTAAGCGGCAAGCCAGCGAGGTAGTATTCGCTAAACCATGTCGCAGCCATCAACCGGGCTTGTTTCGAGTCCCTCGGTCGATCTTGTATCTTATTCGAGCGCCTGGGTAAAACGAGATCGCACGTCCCATTCCCTCACGCTTCAAGACTCGGACATCCAGTGGCCCCTCCGCTGATCGCCCGAACAACAAACATCCTCCAATGGTCAACTTCGTCGATGTTGGTTCTCGAGATTAAATCATCATGGCCCGGATGTCTCGAGAGACCCAAGCGTTCAACGCAACACTAGAATCCAAGAAGGACGTGGATGGTATTCCGGGAATGACAAAGTCGGCAAGTGAAGATGGTACCCAAGCAGGCTGGGAACGATCGGTCGACCGAGTATAAATTGGTCCTCTTAACCCAGCCTTGAAAAAAACCGTTCCACCAGATCCTAGCCATCACATCACTCAGCCCCAACCCTCTCTCTCGATACCCCGGCCGATCAGCTCACTATGCACTTGTCTCTTGCCTACGGGGCGCTCGCCCTGCTCCCGCAGCTTTCACATGCCCACTTCCTCTTCCCGCATCTGATGCTCAATGGCGTCAAGACGGAGGCCTATGAATACGTCCGCGAGCATGACAACGGCTTCCAGCCCTCTTTCACGCCGGAGATCCTCAGCAGTGATGATTTCCGCTGCAACAAGGGCTCGTGGAACCACCGCTCCCAGCCCAAGACGGCCAAGGTGACTGCCGGAAAAGACTCGGTTGGATTCCACCTCCATCTCGACTTTGGCATCTACCACCCAGGCCCGGTCACGGCAAGTCCACCCCCTCAAGCCCCTTCCCCTACTCCAGCTAACCATGTTATCGAACAGATCTACCTGTCCAAGGCGCCCGGGGACGTGCGTGACTACGACGGCTCCGGCGACTGGTTCAAGGTGTACCAACTGGGCACCATGATGCCGTGGAACGGCACCGACCAGGGCTGGTTGACGCGGGACCTGAAGCAGTTCGAGTTCAAGCTCCCCAGCGAGATCCCCGCCGGCCAGTACCTGATGCGCATCGAGCAAATGAGCATCCACCAGCCCTACCGCCAGAAGGAGATGTACTTCCAGGTGAGTCCCGGACAGATCCGAGTCTTCTGTTCTTTGTTTGTTCACTTACTGACACACTGGGCTCGCTTCTAGTGCGCCCACCTCGACATTGCCAGCGACTACAACGGCAAGACGCCGGGACCCACCATCAAGTTCCCTGGTGGTTACCAGCCCAACGATCCTGCGATTCAGCTCGACAGCTGGGCTCAGCCGCCCCCCGACTTTGCTCCCATGCCTGGCCCGGAGCAATGGCCTAACTAAGGGGTGTGGCTTGATGGTCGTGCTGCTAGTGTGTCAAGGGAACATGGGGTGGATATGTGGAGATAAATGAGATGACAGTAGGGATAACATGGCCAACATGACAGGTACCTTTACGTGGATAGCTACTCTACGTATCCAATCATTAGTGTTCGATGGTTCGTTTTACATCTTTCCCTGGGATTATCGAAGTGTTCCCAAACATCAGACGCTTGTAGAAGTGCGGCATCGGCATTCGAGGCCGCATAATTCATCATGACTGAGAAGACACCATCAACATACCTAGGTACCATGACGTCCTTGCCACCCCCGTCCCCCAACCCCCTACCACAACCCCCCATCTACGGCGCCGGGCTATACAACTGCTCCCCATTCTTCTCAAACCCCCTCACCACACCCTGACCCTCGCTCCCCACCAACCACCCCGCAAAATCCTTAGCCATCTCGGGGTTCGGCGCCCTGGCGCCTACCAGCAGGTGCGCCGGGTTGAGCAGCGGGTCCTCGGCGTCGTCGGTCGCGGCCTTGAAGATGGTCGTCTCGCTCGTCAGGTTGGCCGGCAGCGAGAGGAAGGTGCCCCGGTCCGTGAGCGTGTACTCGTCCAGCAGGATGGCGGCGGTTAAGGCTTGGATCGGGAAGGTGATGAATTGGTGGTACCAGGTCGAGTAGGCTGTTGACCAGGGGACCTGGGGGGGGGTGTTAGTGTTTGGGGTGGGGTAGGAGAAAGGGGGGGGGCGTACCTGGCCGATGCTAATCCAGAGGTCGGACTCTTTGATGTTGGTCGCGGATTTGTCGTAGCGGCTTAAGAACCGCACCGACGGGGTTGTGTTGGCGGCCTCGGCAGCCTCGTGCAAGTCGGAGAAGATGGTGTAGATGTCGGAGTCACCCGAGATGTTGGCAGGGTTGGAGGGGGGACCGACGATAAGGAAATGGTCTCGCCAGGCGTAGTAGTCAGGGGCTAATGCGATGCCCTGCTCGATAGCTATCCTTTCCGCTGCTGTGCTGTACGTGATGCCGATGTCGATCAGGCCATCCTTGAGGTAGTTGATGCTGTATGTTGTATCACTTTGATACCAGGCAACCCTGAAGGGGTCTGACCCGTTCGAGACCTTGTCCTCGATGAAGGCATCTGCGAGAGCTATTCCCCAGGCTTGAGTTAAGACCTGTCCTCGAGGGCCGCCCTTGGATTGACTAGATACCTTTGATCAGCCCGCTCTGCCCAGCGCCCCCGTTGCCGATACTGAGGAGAATGGACGAGCCGTTGCCATAGCTAGCGTCATAAACTTCCGCTGGGGTTTGGGCTGCGCAGAGGAACGGCAGCGTTGCAGTGGCGAGGAACCGAAGTGAGACCATCGTGAACTTCTGCAGAAATAGGGATTAAGGGATTATGTTTGACAAGATCTGAGTGCCGTGTCTCTGACACCTGCGAAAGGCGTCGAATTTATGATCCATCACGCAACGATGGTATGCAATGCCCTCGACCGAAAACGACTTAGAGAGAAATAAGCTTCAAGTTTGTCTGGTCTCATGTACGCCACGACATCAATCATTCTTCTTCTCATGCACCAACTAGTCCGTTTTTCATACCCCGGACCAATGCGGACTTATCAGGAAGATTCTCATCACATCCAAGAAAGGGATGGTCTGTGTAGAGCTGAAAACTCCAACGGCTTACGTGGGCCTGGTCGAACAGATTCGGCTGTGCCCACGTCGTCAACGATCAACGGAGGCTTTCCGGCATGCCTGCAATTGGTCCAAGGTCTGCCCGGGAGCAGGGGACAATCCGTCCCCCTCTTCCCAAAACACGTATGGATGAGGCATGTTCCGTGAGGGAATCGGCGGGGTATTCATCGACCTGTCTCCTCACTCTGCTCCATTCCCGGGATTTCCATCCTCCAGAAACTTGAAAAAGGTGAGCCTGTTCCCGTCCGTATCTTTGATTGTAAACTGCCGGTATCCCCACTCCTTATCTGCGATGTCCTCTACCATCTCAGCATTCCCGTGCGACTTTAGCTCTTGGTAGAAGTCATCCAGCTCTGCCGTGCCTAACGCGATCCATGCCGACGACTGCGTAACAGCACTGGAGAAGTAGATGTTGGCCGCCGCTTTGTCACCCGCATAGAGCGAACAGAATGTCTGTTTGCCTGACTGATCATCTGTGTGGATGCCGCCAACCGTGAAACCAAGCACTCGTGTGTAGAAGTCGACCGTGGTTTGGATATTGTCAGACCGGAAATGTGGGATGATCTTCCACGCCGACTGGACTTGGTTTTTGTCCGCCATTGTGCTTGTCACTGTCGACGAGTACTGCTGAATGGCCTGCGAGAGGGCAATAACTCGGTTGAGTTAGCGGGCGGGGAGTGTCAAAGGTTGGGGCTGAAGGTTGAAGCAATGAAGCGGCATTTTGGGCAGCTTCATTTTCGAAGACCTTCCCCTCCCGGCCCAACCCCGGCTCAAAAATGAACGAAACTTGCTGGTGGCTAAATCGACCTTTCGAATTGTTATGGATGTGTAGGAAGCGAGAGCACGAGGTTGGCGGGGCTTCTTTATGGCGGGGCCAAGGCTGCTTCGCTTGACCGCCGCAAGTCCACGCCCGGCCTGGGCTTCGATAAGATGGTGCTAGCTCGTGTGCTTCGCAGTAGTATTCCCGGGTTACAAGGCGTAGTTAGATTTCCCGGTTACAAACACGGGCGGGATGTTTGGCCGGGGACGGTACATAAGGTAGTAAAGGAAAACTTCTATTGTCTATATCGAGGAATCGAAATCGAAAAGAAAAGAAAAATCGAGTACTGGGTTTGAAGCAGTTTATTCTGGCTGCCGGATGATGTTGTTCCATTTCTGTGGTCGAGGTTGGTCGACATTCGACATTTGAAGTCCGGCTTTTTATTCCCATGGTGTGCCTGGGAGTCGTTCTCCTCAAAGCGCGTCAGTATTCGAGAATTGACCGGACTCGGAGTGTGAATCATCAAACGCATCCACATTCGATGTTTTGTCGCAGGGTAAGTGGTCCCCGCCTGGCTGGTGGGGTCGAACATTTCAACGCTAAGCCCGACAGGGCCAAGCCAACGGACCTCCCCCTTGTCGCCCACGCAGAGCTGCCATTGCCGCAGTTGCACTTCAGCCATTCAAAGATTCGCAGCAGTCAGTGCTGGGCAACCTCGACTTTTCGAAAAACTTCAGCCACGACCGACGTAATCACCATCCTCTTCCTCTTCGATTTTCCTCCACGAACATCGCCTCCGCCGCGACCTGCTTTATTGGCTCTTGCCCCAGGAGCGCTTTTCTCTTCTTAAGTTTTTGATACCCGTCTCGGCTGCGCTAGCTTCGGTTGATTTTACGAACATCGGTCGCGCCTCCTCGATTCTCAGCCTCCGCTGATCCCCACGTCAACAACGACTTCTTCCTTCCCTTCGATTTTCTAGTCCGCCTTGCCCCGAATCGCGCGCGGAATCAACTTGCGGGATGGCCTCTGTGAGTTTCTGCCCGGTCCCCGCTACACTACCATCCTACCCTTCTGCCAACTCGATATACAAGCGCCCCGATTCATTCTTGTATCGATTTTATCGCATAATAGCCGCGCACCATGTGCTGCGAGTTCGGCACGTGCGACGCTCGAAGTGTTCGCACACAGCTAATGCCAGACCAGCAACCTCGTCCGACCCCTTACAACCAGGGCTACCTGCCCAACGGCGCTAGCGGCCCCGTTCCTGGCGCCACCCCTCTGCTTCCGAACCAAGGCCGTGTTATCCAGAGCGGTCCTATTAGAGTGCTCTGCATTGCCGATGTGCGAGGTGCGAATACCCAGCAGTGCCCAGACTGCGCGACCTCGGTTTGTTGACGATGGATACATAGGCAACCTCCGCTCCCTCAACGACCTCGCCCGCTCGGCTCGTGCGGATTACATCATTCACACCGGCGATTTTGGCTTCTACGATGAGACATCTCTCGACCGCATCGCCGAGAAGTGAGTTGACATGAAAATCTGGCCACGGCCCCTGCTGACTGTTATTGCGACAGGACCCTAAAGCATGTCGCCCAATACTCCCCGCTCATCTCGGAGGCCACGAAGAAGCTCATCGCGCAGGGCGTTCAGGGCCCGGTCAAGTCACGGTTCGACGCAAGCGAACTGCCACTCTCAGAGCTCCCCCAGCTCATCACCGGCGAGCTGAAGCTGGAGGTACCGGTCTACACGGTATGGGGTGCGTGTGAGGATGTGCGGGTGCTGGAGAAGTTTCGGTCCAAGGAGTATAAGGTGCACAACCTCTTCATCATCGACGAGGCTCAGTCCATGTTGCTGGAGGTCGGCGGCGTGAAGCTCCGGCTTCTCGGGCTGGGCGGCGCCGTCGTCATGCACAAGCTTTTCGACAACGGCGAGGGACGGACGACGATCGCTGGCGGCCAGGGCACCATGTGGACAACTCTGCTGCAGATGGGCGAGCTCGTCGACACGGCAAACCGCGTTTACGACCCCACCGAAACCCGCATCTTTATCACACACGCGTCCCCGGCTCGCGAGGGTATCCTGAACCAGTTGTCGGTTACTCTCAAGTCCGATTTCTCCGTGTCGGCTGGCTTGCACTTTAGGTATGGAAGCTCGTACAACGAATTCAGCGTTAACCCTACCCTGGACCATTACCGCGGCAAGCTCGCAGCGTCCAAAGCGTCCTTCAACGATGTGTGGGACACGGTCAAGGGTGAAGTCGAGCCGGCTATCAGCCAGGTCGAGGCCCAACAGACCCTATTAAAGAACGCACTGGCGGTCGTTGAGAAGATGCCTACGACTGCCGCGGGCGGGAACCCATTTGGCGGCGCTGCTGCCGGCCAGTCGGCCGCGGCCCTGGGCCAGGTCGACGAGAGCGCCTTCAAGAACATGTGGAACTTCAACCTCGCGGATGCTGCCTTTGGCTGGCTCGTCCTAGAGATCCAGGACGGCAGAATCGGAACCGAGATGCGCGCCCAGGGATTCAACTTCTCTCACCGTGGAGCCAAGCAGCAACCCGGTGTTCAGCCCGCCCCTATCGCTGCCGGTAGTAGCCCGGTCATCCACACAGGCCCTTCCGCACCACCGGCGGCCAGCCCTGCCGCTCAGCCGAGGGTCGTCGCCCCGGTACCGGCACCCCCCCCGCAAACAAAGCCAGCCACGCCCCAGCCCCCGCCGGCTACTTCCCCGGCGCCTCGGGAAGAGAAGGCGGCACCGGCTTCTTCTAACGGCGCTGCAAACGCACCCGATGCGGCCCCAGCCCCCAAGAATCCGGCCGATAACATTATCGGCCTCTTCGTTATGAATGCCCAGAGCGATGACCAGGTCCGAGACTTGTTCTCCGAGGATGACAAGGCCAAGATCATCAAGATCGACCGCTGGGGTGTTAATAACAAGGTGGCGCAGTTCAAGACGACCGAAGACCGGGATGCTGCCATGGAGCGTCTTCCTGACGACGTTAAAAACCGCGCCCCCGGTCAGGAGGATCGCTCCAAGCCGCTGGTCAAGATCTTTTCTCCCCCCGCCCCCCGTCAATTCTCGCGCGGCGGTGCTGGCAACTGGGGCAGCGGCCGCGGTGGTCGGGATGGTAGCAATCCCCAGAGCGGGTACCGAAGCGCCGGCGGCGGAGGTGCTAGCGACAGCGAAGGTGCCGGGCGTCGCGGTGGACGTGGCGGACGCGGTGGTCGCGGTGGGGAGCGGGGGCGGGGCAGAGGCCCACGGGGTGGTATCAAGAACGAGGGCGCTAGCCCTGCTCCTCCGGCTGACTCTTAGGTGGCTCAGCCTGAGGCCCTGGCAGCGTCCCGCTTGTCGACAGAGGGTTGGTAGCGGCGTGCTCACTCGCCGTCCTCAACCCATGGCAGCCAGCCCACGTCGACGACGGCCGATCATGCAAGGAGGATGAAATCCCACGAACCGACTACGACACGCGACAACCTTGGCTTCCTCCTTCCACCAACACAATCCCATCGACGACACCATTTCACTGTGATGATATTCGGCTCGCCTCTCGGCAGCCAACCTTGTTTCTTTGTTTCTTTTTCTTCTGGAAGGGCGGAACCTGGATGGATTGGGCTCGCTTCTTCTTTGCTTGGCTTCGGAGATAATACACAACAACGGGGGAGGTGGTTCGGAAAAGAAGCAAAAGATCCCTGTGACTCTTGATATTTCTGGAACTGCGCTTGGGGATCGGAAGGTGGGGGAGTTTAGAGATCCGTTGGTCGTTGGTTGGTTGGCTGCCTCTTGAACTGGTTTTTTTTTCACTTGCCCTCGTCCACCCGGGACACCAACTACACTGCAACCACTTTCGCGCCCCGCCAAGGGAGTTAGCGGTAGCATCAGCGAGGCGACATCTTGTGCTTCTGCTGGGATGTAGTTGGTAGTGAATATTCGCTTGCGAGTGCCATCGTTTTGCGTGGGGGGATGGGATGTGGTCTTGTCCCATATTGTGATCTCGACGCCCTCAACAGCATTGTACCAACTACATATATCGTTCTAACATGTGACCCCCAATCGAAACCTTGTGGTAAAGTGGCCAAGGTAGCCCCGAAAGCCGCGTCATTTCAAGGTGTGGTTGTAAATCATCGCTAAATATCCACGCCCCTTCTAATACGACTGAGCGGGATGCCCGGATCTAGTTTATGTTATGGCACACAAGGATCGTACATGTACACACAAGCCTCCGCTATTACACACCGACGCAACAATATGTACGTCAATCAAGCCCGCGGCTTCATCCCCTTGTGAATCGCCGCCACCCCCCCGGTCAAATCCTCGTATCCCTGCCCGGCCACGACGAACCCGGCATCCACAATCATGTCGCGGAACTCGGCCTGGCTCGGGAACCGCTCGATGCTCTCCACCAGGTACTGGTAGCTGTCGCGGTCCGCCGCCACCAGCTGCCCGATCAGCGGGATCGCCCGGAACGACCACTCCTTGTACAGCGCGTTGAACACGGGGAACCGCGAAGCCTTGCTGAACTCCAGGCACGCGAACACCCCGCCGGGTTTTAGGACTCGGTGCGCTTCGCGCAGCGCCGCGGGTATGTTGCTGAAGTTGCGGATCCCGAAGGCCACCGTGTAGAGGTCGACTGATTCCGCTGCGATTCCGCCGGTGGCGGTGGCCGGGTCGAAGAAGGCTTGCTCCTGGTTGCCTTGCGCGTCGTGGGTTGTCGGCTCGACTGCGGACGGGTAGGCGTGCAGGGGGCGTGTCTGGGTGAGGTTCTCGGCGTTGGCTTCGACGAAGGAGAGTGCTGCTTGTTGGGAGGCGGGGAGTTGTCCGGCGCGTTGTTTGCCGACTGTGAGCATCGCCCGGTTGATGTCGGATATCGTCACCCGCACGTCGGTGTTGCCGTTGAGCTCGTGGGCGGTGCGCAGCATCCGGAAGGCGATGTCCCCCGTGCCGCCCGCGATGTCGAGGATGTGCTGCGGCCCGCGCGGGTCGGGGCCGGTGGTGAGGGGGGAGAAGCCGGGGTTGAGGGAGGCGACGAAGTGGTCTCTGTTAAGGGGGGTTTGGTGTGGTTAGTGTGGGTGTGGTGACTGGGGAGGGCGGCGAAGGGGGGCTAAGGGGAGAACGCACTTCCACACTCGGTGCCAGCCAAAGGACATGAGGTCGTTCATGCGGTCGTACGACTCTGCTACGCTGGTAAAGACACCCGCCACGCGCTCCCGCTTCTCGCTTTCTGTTACTGTCTCGAAGCCGAAGTGGGTTGGCCTGGACGGATCGGGGACGGCATAGTCGGGGGAGGTATTCGGTGTCGGGCTATTGGAAAGGAGTGTTGTTGAGAAGGGTCGTGTGGATCGTAATTGTAGCTCGGGATGTGTAAAGGCGCTCCTCCGTACGGGGCGGAGGGCCCTTCTGAGGGCTGTTCGGGCTGCCATGTTGAGCAAGTTCACGGCACCGAGACAGCTCCGGGACCAGATCTGGAAGAATTCGGGATCAGCTCATGCATGCTTGCTTGCCGAAAAATAAATCGGGTCCGCCCGGAGGTGTGGCTGTCTCATGTGGCTTGACACCCGGGAATCCAACGCCCTGTGTGTTTCAGCCCTGTTTGCGGGGTCGAGATGCGCGCCAAGGGGGTGGAATGGATGGTGGGGTTGACGTTCGAGTTTGTTTGTTCCCGCCGTGCCGCCGTCCTTGCACCTCACCAATACCACCGACGTACCGCCTGTTGGGATGCAGTCGCACGTACCTGGCTTACTGGGCCTCGGAGTCACGGGCCTCGCGCGACTTTACCATAGCACGAGTGGCCGTCCGGACGTACTTGATACCGAGCACGCCGAGAAGTGCAGCGATGCTCAAGACGCAGAGCACGGCGATGACAATGCGGCTTTCGTCCGTCATGCTGCTTGAGTAAATTAAAGGTGGGATTTCAGGTTGTGCTGATGGTTAGGTTGGTTGTTTGGATTTGACTGGGGTTGCAATTGTATCTTGTGGGAGGCACACGATAAAGTTGCTGCAGTCGCACAAGCCGGTGACTCGGGTTGCCGGGTGAGGGGTTGCTGGAAACAACACAATCTAACGTACACAGTACATACCTAGGAAAAAGGTCGGCCAAAATCAGATGAATTCGCGCGCTCGCTCGCTATTTGTCTAGAGTTTCCTTCCCGCCCACAAACTCCCCAAGGTCATACTCATCAGGGTATCTCTCTAGCTGGCTCTTTAACTCCTTCATCTGCTGTTGCAGGTCCGGCGTCAGCTCTTCGTACACGTCCTCGAACATGGTCCGGACCGGTGGCTTCTTCTCGCGCTCGGCCTCAGAGAAGGCCTTGAGCACATCCCGCCTAATACTCTCGCGGGCCTCCTTCTCCTTGTGCTCGTCCCAGCACCCCTTCGCCTCCATCCATTTGCGCAGCCTCGCGATCGGGTTGTCCCGCCTCTTCCAGTCCTCCACTTCTACCTTGGCGCGGTAGGCAAACGAATCGTCCGATGTGCTGTGGTGGCTGACGCGGTATGTCATGGCCTCGATCAGAACGGGCCTGCCGCCGTCCTGCAAGGCGATCTCGCGCGCCTTCTTCATCACCTCGCGGACGGCCCAAAAGTCATTACCGTCCACGCGAATCGTCTCAATTCCGTATCCAAGACCGCGGCTGGCGATGCCGTCGCCACGATATTGCTCTAGCGTCGGCGTCGAGATAGCGTACCCGTTATTGCGGCAGACAAAGATGACCGGGCAGGACCGAGTCGCCGCGATGTTCAAGGCAGCATGGAAGTCGCCCTCGCTGGCTGCGCCCTCGCCAAAGTACGCTGCTACCACTCTCGGAGGTATGCTGGGGTCCTGCATCCGCTGAATCTTGAGGGCATAGGCGGCGCCGGAAGCCTGCGGAAGCTGCGTCGCAAGGGGCGAAGAGATGGTGTGCTGGAACAAGGTAGTCAGCATAACATGGACTAATATCCCGTGCCACGCAGGAGTTCGCCTACGATATTCAATTCCCGACTGCCGTAGTGCACCGGCATGTTCCTGCCCTTCCCAGGATCCTTATGGTTCGCAAACAGCTGGTTCATAAAGTCGGCGAGGGTAAACCCGCGCTGCTTAAGACGCCCTGCTCGCGATACTGGCAGAACACGACATCCTCCTTCTCAAGCGCCGACGCAGTCGCCACCGACACGGCCTCCTCACCAGCCGACACCATGTAAAAGCTCAGCCGGCCCTGGCGCTGGGCGTCGAACATGATCAGGTCCATGACGGACACGGTCAGCATGTCGCGGTACAGCTTGACCACCTCCTCGTCGCTGAGGTCGGGCTCGAAGCTCGGGTCGACGGCCACGCCGTTCTGGTCGATCGCCCGGTACGTCGGCAGCGCCGGGTAGCCCGCCGGCTGCTCGAATTGCATGCTGCTGCTAAAGGCCGACTTGACCGCCCCGGGAAAACATGACGTGCTTGGAGTCCGGGCGCTGCGAGATGGAACCGGCATGTCGGCGGGTTGCTGTCGCTGGTAATTGTCGCGTTTGTGGTGAAGACCCGGGGACCCGGTCGATGAGGAGGTGAGTAGCTGTGTGGATTGGGCTAAGGGAGAGAACTGAGTCCCTCCCAGACGCAAGAACGCCCATGAGGGCGGGACAGGCGCATTCTCTTCATTTCTAGACGGCGGGGCAGTGTCAATTGGAGGAAGAGGTTGTCAAATGGAGTGGTAGATGTCAAGATTTCAGTCCATTGCCCTTCAATGGAATGGGAAAAAGGACGTCGTCCCCTCGGGGCGGGAGGAGAGAGGTCAGCTGGCGCTGTTCCGGGATAACGACGTCACTTGTGCGACGGAAACCGTGCATGGTTCGCGGGGTTTGGCGTTCAGGGGTGTATTTGTCTGGGGTGCTCCACGAAACCTTCCCGCGGAGGAGAGCTTGGCATCTGCGGCTCCTTGCTCCCTGCTCACCTGCCTGCAAAGTCAACAAACCCAGGTTCGTCTCATCAAGCACATGGTGGGCAGTTTACTGTGTATTGTGTATTAACCCGTCGGGACATTGGACCTACTGTAGATCGGCCGTGTTTTGTCCAAGACTACACATCTAGTTTTCTCCGGTGGGCCGAACCCCTGGACCGACCACATCTCACCACTCGCAGCCATATTCTAGACTTTGTGTCCTCCCGAAACACCAGTGGCGTGGCTCTGTTGGTTCTTTTGCAAGTACATACCTTGGCGGTCGAAAACCCGGATTGTTCAGTACTAGCGGAATTAACATAAACACACATCAAGGTTATCGTGTCCACTCGTGACCTGGTGCTCGTCCACGAGCGTGGCGATTTTTAGTTCCTGTAGTTGAAAGTCCGAATGCACATCTCAAAATAAAACGTCCTCGCTTCCACATTCATGACAATGTTGAGTGCAATGCCGGCCGGCCAGCCGACACTTGAGCTCCGTCTAAACTAAGCCATCATCGAGTGCCCACAGCACTAACGATAAACGATACACCATAGAGGAGTCCCTGAAGAAGTACCCCGAGCTTATTGAAATCAGACACCCTCACTGCCTGAAGAATTATGAATCTAGGCCAAAACAACGAACTTGCTTGCAAGTACCAGGAACACCGTTCTCAGCCTTTCACAACGACAAGTGGAGATTGCGAAAGGAGCACGACAAGCGGCACGTGTTTGAACCATGGCATGGCCCCAAATTTTTACTCTTCCCAGGCGGTGGGAGTTTTTATTTCGTTTGTCTAAATACCTAAACTAAGTGTACTCAATATCCGGCGCCTTGTACAGCGGCCTTCGCCGTTATGGAGTTAACTGTAAATCAATTTGGCTACTAGGTACGCAACATTCAAGTTTAGCATTTGAGACCCCAAAGACCTCAACAGCCGCCATTACCGCCATAACATGAATCTTAGTATATCTGCCATCTCTTTCTTACTTCAGACACCCCCCGAGAGGCCTGGACTGGGACATTGATGCTCTTCTTCGAACCTTTTCGCGAGGCCGTTGAGTTGCCTGTTTTCCCATTCTCGGGGGCAACGCAAGCATTATCACTTTGGTTCAGCCTCTACCGGGCAGGGATTACCACCATCTGTTAATCTGTCGTCCTCACTCTGCACCCGGTGTATGTTCAGCGTAAGATATCTCTACTGACGACCTACCCAGCAAGGTTCTCCACCTTCGTAATTCTTAGTACCTAGGTTAGGTACTATATATGAATATTAGTAGAGTACCATTGCGGCCCAAACAAGTCCCAAAGAGAACCGGCATAACAAGTTCTATGATTGGAAACTGATCATGTTAGAAGAAGAGCTCTAGACTGGTTTGGAGATGGTTCTAGACAAGAACCCATTAAATCAGCATTGTCACTTTGTGTGCTCTCCGCAAGCTATATTTTGTGTTTTCTTTATGCTGGGCTGAACCTGTAATTGGCAGACATGGGCAGTTAGGTAGTTATGGGCCCGCCTCGCCCTCCCGTCACCTTGAGGGTGATTTGATGGTGGATGATTCGGGTTGGGGGAGGTTGAGCTTATCTCAATCTCGCCCGCGCCGCCCCTCCGGAGCGTATCCACTCAATCCGTGCCACCCATGCCGGTCTCTCTTGGCCGAAGCCGGCACAAGGATCCCGCCGAAACAAGCGCCAACCAGATGCTCTGACATCAGGCGCCTTGTCCAAC